TGTCTTTATCCCCATTTTACAGAGGAGACTGAGGCTGAGAGGTGAAGTCACTTGCCTATGGTCAATGAAGCTGGGATTCAAACCCAAGTCTCTTTTGGCTCTAAGTTCGAGGACTTACACTTACTGACTTTTGATTACCTTTGTAGGACCCTCCTGGCTCAGGGACCTAACAAAGCTAATGGCTGCCATCTATTTGTAAGGTTTGCAAAGAGTTTAACAAATATTACCTCACTTGATCTTTACAACAACTCTGAGAAGTAGGTGTTTTTATTATGTCAAGTGCCAAATCTGGCGTCTGGAAGAACTGAGTTCAAATCCAACCTCAGACACTTACTAGCTGTGTGATCCTGGGCAAGTCACTTAACCCTGCTTGCCCCAGTTTCCTCATAAGCTAGAGAAGGGAATGGCAAACCACTTCAGTATCTTTGCTAAGAAAACCCAGAAAAGGGGTCTTGAAGAGTCAGACATGACTGAAAAATGACTAAACAACAACATAGAGACTGAGAAGGGTTAAGTGACTTGCTCAGGGTCACACACCTAGTGTCTGAGGCAAGATTCAGACTCAGGTCTTCCTGACTCCCAAATCCATCCCCAAAGTCACCTAGCTGCCCAGGGTCTTATTTGGCAAGGTCATTCCCAATAACTGGCCCCTACAGTCAGACCTGAAAAGTATCTCGCCAAGACGTCTGGGCCTCTGCCACCCTTTTCTCCCTGTCTCCATCACCTAGTAAAGAAAGGGCTGATAAGCCTGAGGGCATTTTTCCTGTGGAAATTTCTGCACATTCACCACGGCCTACCTAGCCAGTCACCGCACATCTCCCCTGCAGCTTCTCTGAGCCCCTGGGCTGTCTCTCCCAGCTATTTTTAGCCTCCTGTGCCCTTCCTGGGAAGCCCTGGTCATTGATCACACTTAATGGGGGAGAGGACGATAAATTAACCGCCTATCTCTGGAGCTTTTTTCCACCCAGGCCTGAAGTTTGCCTTCCTTGCACCTGTTTTCATCACCCTTTTCCTCTCCTCCAGGGATGGCGCCAGGCCTCTCTCTTCAATGCTTTCTTTTCAAGGACATTTTCCCCCTAAAACCCCCCCCCCAGAAGATATCTGTTAGCCTTTTTTTCATTTACCTCTGTTCTAGTGGGGCAGGTTTGGGAAGGAGGGGGAGAAGAGAAGGAGGCAGCAGCTAAAACAGTTGGAGTTTCTGAGTTCTTGCAGAGGGAAAAGGGGGGAAGAGCTGGGGGAGAAGGGAAAAAAGCCAATTGTACAGAATTGCTCCAAAAGCAAGAAGGAAGGGGAAAATAGCATTTATTAAGTGCCTACTATGTGCCAGGTGCTGTGCTAAGCATTTTACGAATATTATCTCATTTGATCTTCAAAACAATCCTTGGAGGTAGGTACTGTTATTAACCCCATTTTACAGATGAAGAAACTGAGACTGAGAGAGGCTAAGTAGCCTGACCAGAATCATACAGCCAGGGACAGCTAGGTGGTGCAGTGGATAGAGCACCAGTCCTTGAGTCAGGAAGACCTGAGTTCAAATCTGGCCTCAGACACATAACACTTCCTAGCTGTGTGACTCTGGGCAAGTCACTTAACCCCAATTGCCTCACTAAAAAAAAAAAAAAAAAGAATCATACAGCTAGTAAGTGTCTGAGGCTGGATTTAAACTCAGGTCTCCCTGACTCCAGGTCTAGTACCCTGGACACCTAGCTGCCTTATAAAAAAGAAATACTCCCGTTTCACAGACCCTAGGATTATACTGGATCATGGATTTTTGAGCTGGAAGTGACCTCAGAAGTTATCTTGTCAAATTCTCTCATTTTACAAAAAAGGAAATTGAAGCTCAGATTTGCCTACGATCACACAGCCAGTAAGTATCTGACACAGGAGTTGAGCCCAGGTCTTCCTGACTCTATCCATTATAACATACTGCCTCCCAAAAGATGGGTGGTCTGAGACATAGGAGAGACAGAGTTGTGGAGTGGCTAGAATTCTGGAGTTCAAGGTATGGATGCAAATTCTTCCTTAGCTGTGTAATAACAGGCAAGTAACTTAACCTCAGTTTTTTCCTCTGTAGAATGGGGACTTGCACCACCCACCCACCTCACAGGAGTGTGGTAAGGAGAGTGTTTTGCAAACCTGAAAGTGCCACAGAAATATGAGTTATGCTTATTATCACTCAACATTCAAACTCAAGCTCCTGCCCTGTTCTTCCCTGCTCTTACCCATTTAAAAGACAAGGAGGAACTTCCTTTTGTCTGAGCTTCTTAGACACAGGCTCAGGCCGCCTGTGGGAATTGGCATTTCTGAGAAGTTTGCCTGGGCCATAGCAGGGGGACGCTCTTATTCGAATAGGGGGTTTTGTTTCCTCTTTTCTATGTGCACCCTCAGTGCTTAGCACAGTGCCTGGCACATAGGGACAACGAGTGGGCCTAGGATTTCACTGGCATAAGGAACTCTCAGATGAGGGAACTCTCTACCAATGTCAGTTTGGCCCCTTCTTTGAAACCTAGAGTCTTAGACAATGACGTAAGATACTGACTTGCCCAGGGTCAGAAAGCTGGTATGTGTCAAAGGCAGACCTGAAGCCAGCTCTTCCTGGCCCTGGGGCCAGCTCGACCTCTTCTGCCACAGCTGTCTCCACTCATTGCTAGGAAGTGCTAACATATGCTTGCTGGCTGACGCACTCACTCACTTATAGTGAGGTTTCAAGACAGCTGGCTCTGATGCTGTCTTTTAGTCACACATAGAATCTTAGTGTTTGAGCTGGAAGGACATGGTTATTGTTCCATAATTCAGTTGTGTACAGCTCTTCGTGACCCCTTGGACCATAGCACACCATTGCTGCCCATAGAGTTTTCTTGGCAAAGATACTGCGTGGTTTGCCATTTCCTTCTCCAGGCTCCCCAACTGTATCGATGAGGGAATCGAGATCCAAAGGGGAGAAGTCATGTGCCCAAGACCCAGTGGTCAGTAGTAGAACTAAAATGCAGACCCAGTTCTGACTGTCGGATCCTGGATATAGAGCTGGAAGGGGCCTTAAAGACCATTTAGTCTAACCCCTTCTCTTTACAGATGAGGAAACTGAGGCCCAAGGAGGTTACAAGTGACTTCTGCAAGATCACCCAAGTGTCAGAGGTGGGATTCCTGGTCCAGTTTTATTTCCAGGCCTGGCCTAAGGGAACAGAGAGGGGGTTATCTATGAAACTCGAACAGCAGCTAGCACGGCCCTCACCAGGAAGAGTCAAGGTCTACAAGAAGTCGAGGAGAGGATCATGACCTAGAAGGGAGCCGGAGATCATCTAGTCTAACTGCCTCATTTAGCAAGGAAGGGAAGTGAATTTTCAAAAGTTGCACAGGGAAATGGTGCAATGAATTTGAAGTCTACTCCTCTGACGCTGCATCCAGTCCTCCTTCCACCATACTCCACATTGTCTCATAAGGAATCAGGCAATAAATTTAAAGAAGATGGAAGAAACACTGGCCCCTCTGGGTTGTATTCTTGTCTACAGTTTTGGGTTGGAGTTTAAGGTGGTTGATAGTTTTGGTGTTCTCACAGCTTAGTGTTGTTGTTCAGTCATTTCCAATTCTTCTGGACCCCATTTGGGGTTTTCTTGACAAAGATACTAAAGTGACTCTCCAGCTCATTTTACAGATAAGGAAACTGAGGCAAACAAGGCAAGTGACTTGCCCAGGGTCACACAGCTAGTGAGTGGCTGAGGCTGGGTTTGAACTCACAAAGATGAGTCTTCCTGACTCCAGGCCTGGCGCACTCTCCACTTTGCCACCTAGCTGCCATCTACTTAGTGTAGGGAGGGATAGAAAGACAAAGAGAGCTAGAGAGAGGACTGTGATAGGAGAGGCATGATGTCTAGGAATAAAGAGGTGATCATGTCACTGCGCCTGGTTAGGCTTCATCTGGAAGACTGTCTGGTTCTGGGCTGCACAGTCTAAAGAAGCTACTTAAAAGCTGGGCAGCATCTGGAGGAGAGCAGAGAGGATGGTCAATTCAATTCAGTTCAATAAACATGAACCCATGCCATCTGAATTTCAGTTGGAGGAAATGGAAGGAAGGAAGCAAGCATTTACTAAGTGTCAGACACTGTGTTAAGCGCTTTACAAATATCTCATTTAATCATCACAACAGTCCTGGGAGGTAGGTGCTATTTTATTTCCCATTTTACAGTTGAAGAAACTGAAGCAGACAGAGGTTAAGTGACTTGCCCAGGGTCCCACAGCTAGTAAGTGTCCGAGGTCAGATTTGAACCCAGGTCTTCCTGACTTCAGGTCCAGGGCTGTATTTTCTTTGACTCCTAGCTGCCCAGGTGTTTCCCAGATGAACTGGGAATGTTTATCCTGGAGAGGAGAAGCCTGAAGGGGTATGGGGAGACATGATCACTCTCTTTAAGTATTTGAAAGGCCATTGGGCGTGTGTGTGTGTGTGTGTGTGTGTGTGTGTGTGTGTGTGTGTGTGTGTTGGAGGGTTAGATTTGTGCTTTTGGGTCCCTGAGGAAGGAACAAGGAACAAAGGGAAGAAGGTGAAGAGGCAGATTTAGGCCCGATGTCGGAAAGTTAAAGTGGAATGGGCAACCTTGGGAAGTGTGAGTCTCCTCCCACTGGAGGACTTAATCAATGACTAGATGGGATGACCACTTGTGAGGGATGTTATAATATGGATTCTTTTTTGGCAGTAGGTTGGATTAGCCAATCTTTGAGGTCCTTTTCAATTCTGAAATTCTGTGATTCTGTGAAGTTGGAGAGAATGCCATGAGATGGAAAACGTGTGTGGAACCAATGAATAATTTAGCAGGTTGATGCAAATACAGGTGGAAGCATAAAGCCTTTTCCTCTCCCTGAGCTTGCCCAGAAGATTGAGTTCAAAGTCACTGGAGTCTTATCCCATTGAACAGGTTCACCAGCAACCGTGGAACCTCAGTGCTGGTGAGGACAGTAAGGCTGAAGGAAGGCAAGTCTAAGAATCTCCAATGTCTTTCCCACAACAGGTTCTTTGGCAGTGTCCGTGGCGGACATGACTGCGCCAGTCGTTGGCTCCTCTGGAGGGGTCTATGCACTTGTCTCTGCCCACCTGGCCAACATTGTGATGGTAAGCACCCTCCTACCCTAACCTACTTCCTGCCCACCTGTTCCCACCTTCCCCAGGGTTCTCAAACACAGTTGAACATATTCTTTTTCCTTCAAAAATATTTCTTTTTACAATGACCCTGGATTCAGGAGGACCTGAGTTCAAATCTGGCTTCAGACACATAACCCTTACTAGCTGTGTGACCCTGGGCAAGTCACTTAACCCCATTGCCTAGCCCCCCAAAAAATATTTCTTTTTAAAACCATTTTGGACTTAATGAACACACACACACACACACACACACAAACTGAACATTTCCATCATCTATTATTCTTGTGTTGGTGCCAGGACTGTAGTCCTTACTTACCCCCATGTCCATTCCAGTCACCACTTAACCCCAAGCCCCTAGAGGAACCTAACCTGTGTAAAGTCCATGTCTCTCTGTCTCTCTGTCTGTCTGTCTCAATCTCTCTGTTTCTCTGTGTTTCTCTCTCCTCCTCCTCCTCCTCCCCCCTTCTCCCTCTTTCCTTCTTTATTATATCTGTCTTTCTGCCTCTTTGCCTCTGTCTGTCTCTGTCTGTCTCTGTCTCTCTCTCTCCCCCCTCCCCCTTCTCCCTCTTTCCTTCTTTATTATG